ATGTACCTATGTTATTTCCCATTATTTTTATAGTAGAAAACTTTGTTTTTAAATATATATTTTTGTGTTGGTACCTATGTATTATGTTTCAAAATATCGGTAAAAACTTTAAAAATACCTACTTAATTTTTCAAACCTAATCTTGTGAGTTGTGACAACTGTAAGTGATTATTAATTTTCAAGCCTCTTACCTCTTATCATCACTACTCTTCCCCTATTCCACACCTTGAAAAATCTTTTGTTATCCAATCCCATAAATTCAGTATTATCACAATCAATTGGTATAATTTATTAATAAGGAGGATCCCTCCTTCATGATACCTGACTTATGGAACACCCGAACACCAAATTATTATGAACAAGCTCATATTTCTCAAATGCCATCAGTGCAATGATGAAATACGCATCAAACACAATATACCGGAAATCGGAAATACTATACAGTATGAGGAAAAGTACCAGAAGACCAATAAATCGAATCGACTGAAGCCTAACTCCATTAATTAATAGAATTAATATYAACCTAAGTAAATTAATGAAGGTATACAATCAATATAAATATATAAGAGCGTAAAGTAATGTATATGAATAATGAAATCGCTGGATGATAAGTGATAACCACGCCTTTAGCAAGAAAGATGTATTATTAAGTGACTTAAATATTAGTTTTTTTTTACCTGATGTCTGTAATTGTTCCATCCATCTGAACCAGCAACCAAAAATACCCATTTCTTTCCAATAGTATTTTCCTCATTTGTTGAATTCGGTTCGTGTGCAGCAAAAGATCCAATAACAAATAAYGCTAATAATACCAAATTAAAAACTCCTGTAATATGAAAGCGGTTGGTATTGTATTAGTAAATTATATCGAAATCAAAATGTACATAACATGCGTAGACATTGGCACAACTATAATAGRGGGGTGCACAAGGGACTTCACTATTTKTGCACTCCCAAAATTATTGGTCTAGTTGCGCCTATGTGCGTAGATTTACTAATCCTTATTATAATTACAATTTATGAATATCACAGACCGAGTACTGAAATGTAGTGAAGGTATTTACTAACATTTGTTTTATAATRTGACGTTGAAAACCAWTCGTTTAGGTTTTAGATTCGTAGCCATAGGTATATTTTTATGAATAGATACATAAASTTCCTTAAACACACTGCAACAGTGCATTTCTCTATACCGAGTTGTAAAGTGTAAACAAACGTATAAAATAGTGAACTAGCACATGATACAATAATAATATAAAATAAAACATTCTCTGAAATATGCGGATAACACCTGAGGTTGCATCCATTAATACGTCATAACTCATAATGAATAAAGACTACATTTTTAAAATAACAATAATAAAGTATCAAACTCCAAAAGATAAACAACATATTATTTTAGATTTTYAAAAGAGTTACCTAGGTAATGGAATAACACTGCATTATTGCATTATTAAGTAGGGTATATTATTAGGTCTTATTATGACGTGAAAATCATAAAATTAAAATATGACACCTCTGTTCCATTATTTAAGATGTAACACCGTAGAGGTAAACCTATCTTCTATATCTTATTAATTTATTTTACTGCTAAAATAATGTTATTTAATTTTGAATGTTTAAATATATATTTAATCAAACATTTTGCAAAATGTTTTTCAGAATACAATTTTGAAATTTATTTATACATATATTATATTACATATATATATAGGTATATTAATTATATCATAATAAATTATTATAATATTATTAAATAACGAAGTTACAAACGAATATTTTTTAGCTAATTTAAGAGATGAAGGTAGATATTTATTTACATAATATATGTATTACATTTTTAATTATTTGTTATAGAATTAAAAATATCA